AAAAATATATAAAAAAATACCTTAATTACTTTCAAACATACTCTTATTAATCTTTTAATGTTAAATAATAACAATTAATTAATATATAACTAAACAAATAAATTAATTAAATTTTATCATTCACTATTTAATATTTACTAATCGTTATTTTTTATTTATTATCCACTATTTAATATCTATTATCCGGTTATATTTTAATTAAATTGCCAAATAGACCCTAAGTCTTACAATTAAAATCTATTACTTTCTTCCTTTTTATTTTTTATTTTCGATACATCGAAGATTAGCCAAGGCTTTCTATTATGTCCAAAATGTCCATTTTCCATATTTTCTCTACTAATCTCAATTTTATTTTAAAGGCTTAACACTACTAAAAATCCTCCACCTTTACAAAAGAAGCCATTGACATCCTTCTACTTTAACAAATTTCATAATGACCCTTCAACTTGGAAGAAAGGGTCAACCATAATCCCCCATTGATGGATGTTATAACACCGTGAATTCATGCGTTAAAATCGGCATAACCCCTTCTTAAGCCCCTCAACTTTTTCAACATCAAGTGACAAGCCCCTGAACTAGAAAGGTGGTAAATAAGCCCTCCAACATCACGTTAGGTGCAAATCAACCCTCTGCTAACTGACTTCATGACGCCTTTTGTTATTGGCTTGCTTGGCATTGCACTTGCACGCCTTTACATTTTCTTTCGGCCTTCATTTGTTTTCAGTAATAATATATTTTTTTAATTAACTATTTTTTTAATTAATTAATTAATATTATATAACATACTTTGATAAAAAAAATGATATATTTTTATTTTAATTAATAATGCATTTCACTTCAATAATCTTTATAAATTAATTCTTAAATTTAATTAAATCACCTAATTAATAAAAAAAAATTTAACATGATCCTTATTGTTCTCATTAATTTCTCTCTTGATTCAAATTAGTAGATCTAGTTTCTTATTTGATATGTTTAAATTTAATCATCTACTTTTTATTTTTAGGATATCATTTAATATATTTATTCTTATTTTACCTTCATTTAAAAAAATAATTACAACATATATTAAATACAAAATTTTATTTAAATAATATTTAATTAGGGATAAATATAAAATTTTATTAATAAATTATTATTCTCTATTTTATTAGACAAAAAAAACTAAATCTACTAAAATGAACAGTATTATGAAAGGGTTTTTTTAGCTTTTACTCTTATGTCACGTATTAAAGGTACAATAAATATATTTTTCATCATAAATTTATATTGAAAAAATAAATATTGACCTTTAATTTATCAATTATTTAATTAAATTTATTAACGTGACAATGATACTAAAATTAATATTAGCTTTTATATTTTTTAATATAAATTAATAACAAAATTTGTCTTTTAAGTCACAAATCTAATACTTTAAATGTTAAAACTTTTTATAAAATTATTTAAATATTCTTAATAAATATGTTTTTTGTTGATTTACTAAAGGTACTTAGTTTTTTCATTTTCATTTCTGGTATTTTAATTTTTATTAAACAATTTTAAAATGTAATTAAAATATCAAAAATGATAATGAAAAGATTAAAATACCTTTAGTAAATTAACAAAAAATATTTATTAAAAGTATTTAAATAATTTTACTGAAAATCTTAACATTTAAAATGCCAAAATATTTTGATTTTTGCTTTTAGGTACATCTTTTTTGGTACATTTAATAATAATGGATTATATAAGAGAGGATAGCCCTCCCGTTTCTCTAAATTTCTTTCAATTCCAATCGATTCAGGGTTCGAACTTAAAATTTTTAGATACA